TCCTCCTCTTCCCCCTTTCTCCTCTTCCCCTTCCTCCTCTTCCCCCTTCCTCCTCTTACCCACCTCCTCTTCCCCTTCCTCCTCTTCCCCCTTCATCCTTTTACACCCTTTCCTCCTCTTCCCCCTTCCTCCTCTTCCCCTTCCTCCTCTTCCCCTTCCTCCTCTTCCCCCTTTCTTTCTCTTCCCACTTCCTCCTCTTTCCCCTTTCCTCCTCTTCCCCCCTTTTGTCCTCTTCCTTGCTCCCCTGTCCCTCCTCCTTCTCCTTTGGCTCCTCCCCTTCTCTGACTGCTCCTCCCCTCCTTACCCCGCTGCAATAAATAACTTTTCACCGGGTCCAGAAGAGCTCTTTCCTGTCTGTCTCAATACCCTCCTTATCCCCCGCGGTGACGGAATCCCGGGCCTGTTTCCCTCTGTTTAATGCCGTTGCCGGGACCACGGTGGCCACGCGCCAGGCGCAGGGAGTTCCGCGGCGGTGGCGCTCGGAGGCGGCCAGCTGGGCTGTGCGCCGGGCCCCGCAGCCACCAGCCTTGCTCCGCCGGCTCCCAGCCGCGTCCCTGCGCCTCTTTTCCTCTTCCTCGGTCTCCTCTCGAGGTTTGTTTATAGCTGCTACTAGGAGAGAGGTTACACGGATTTTATTTTAAGAATTGGTGATGACTAACAAAGTTAAAAGGAGCTTAGGACAGAAAACAAGACTATTTTTAGATTACTGTTGTTTCTGTGAGTTATTGGGGCAAATACCCTTTAGAAGCTTAGCATTTTAAAAGCGCCCTTGGGTGCCAAATCCCTTTACCAGTAGCGCACTTGGGTGTTCTTCCGCGTTTTCTAGAGACTGCACGAAGCTGGCGTGAACACGGCACTGCCATGGAGACACAACCGTCCTTGGGATGGGCGTCTCCAGCCAGCCGCAGCTCCTGAGGGACCGGCTGGAAGGGCCCGGGCCTGAGGCTCACCCTCCTGCCCTGAGCCCCTTTGGAACCCTCCACCCCACCTGTGCCTCCCCTGGGCTGCTCTGAGGTCAGGCACATTGGGGTCAGGTGGGCCCCTCCACCGAACCGCACAATCACATCAGATATCTGTGGTTATGTGTGTCCTACGCACGCTCTGCTGCACCTACAGTCTAAGCCACAGTGGAGGTCACCTTAATGCTCCCCTTTCAGCTACCATCACACCTCCGCCTCGGTTCCTGAAACGGCAACTGGGAGCCCCCTTCTCTCCTCCCAACAGCGAGCTTAACCAACAGGGAAGAGGCCCACAGCCTTGGGGATGCTAGCAGGCTGGCCTGAAGCAATAGGGTGAAATCAACAAACTAGAACTGGAACAGGTCATTTACTCTGTGTGTGTGTGTGTTGTTGTTGTTGTTGTTGTTGTTGCTTTATTCTTGCTATATTTGTGTGAATTTGTGTTGAGAACAAGTCTCACCGTGGTTGGATCCTGGAGGGAGCTTCCTTCCACATACACCTGTGTCAATACTTGCAGACCTTCCTTTCACTTTGGGGTTTACTTGGAAAACTGTAAACTTGGGGCTCAGCAATCCTGCCCTGGATTTTTACTTGTGATATACCTCTTGAGTTCCCTCCTCTTCTCTGAATGGCACAGAGGCTCGTTTAGTCCATCTGCCTGCCCGCAGCCCCACTGCCCATCTCATGCACTGCCGGCCAGTCTGTTATGGTTCAGATCTTGAATCCACTGTGTGTCAAAGGCATGGTTGCCAGTCTGGAGCGCTCTGGGAGGTGATGGAAACTCTGGGAGGTAGGCCCAGTGGCAGGAAGGCTGTTCTCGGGAGTGTGCCCTGGGGGGGTGCTGGGCTGGGCTCCTTCCCTTTGCTTTGCTTCCCAGTCACCATGGAATGAACAGGGTTGCTGCATCATGCACTTCCCACCGTGATATTCTGCCTTGCTACTGGCCCAAAGGCAGTGGAGCCCACTGACCATGGAGTAAACCTTCTGAAGCAATGAACCAAATAAATTTGCATAATTTTAACTTGATTTATCTCAAGTGTTTTATCTTGGCAATGGAAAGCTAACACAAGGTTGAAGAACTCGATTACAATGGATCCACTACCTTCCCCTGGGCATGTGCCCAGCGCATCAGGATCAAGGCTAAAGTGTTCAGCCTGGCACCTGATGTTCTTCATCCTCTGCATCCCGTACCTGGAATGGCCACACAGGAAGCTCCTCCTCCAAGCCATTCCTGGTCACTCTGACCCACTCCTGAGAGTTCAGAGTTACCTCGTCGCACCTCCTTGTAGTCTGTCCCCAAGAGTTTACCAGGCATACCCCAGCTCTCTTCCCATGTATTACCCCTGCTTTTGCCCAGGGTCCTGACTGCTTTAACCAGTCTCTGCTTCCCCTTCCTACCTACTTGCTTGCCTGCCTGCTATGGTGGTTCAGAGAAGCCCATGGTCCCAGACAGCCCGATTTTGCTTTGCCGCCCAGCCTATAGTCTATACCTGAAAATATGCCGCAGGCACTTGCAAGAACATTCTGCATTCTGCGGCTGCTCAGTGGGTGTTCCATGGGTTTCTGCTAAGAGGACTGGGTGGTTTATAGAGTCTTCCACCCTTTTGTTCTGTCTAGTTGTTCAGTCACTGGCAGTAAGGTTACATTTGGCTGTGAAACTTCTTTTGTTCTGCCAGCTTTTGCTTTACTTATTTGGGAACTCTGTGAGGTGTACCTGTGTTTATAATCTGTGTACCCTCTTCCTGGGTTGGCTCTTTCATTGTTAGGAAGCATCCCTCTTGAACTGTGTCTACCCTCTTCCTGTCACTGTAATGATCTAGGTGAGATAATTAATGTGGAGAGATGAGGGTTATTCTGACTCTGATTTGGAGGTTCCAGTCCAGGACTCAGGGGCCACAATGCTTTGGACCTGTGCTGAGGCAGAAGCACATGATGAAGTGAAGTGGCTTCACTTCGTGGCCAGGCAGTGAAAGAGAGCAGGAGGCAGGAGCTGAGGTCCAAGGTTCTCTTCTAGGGCACATCTTCAAGGACCAGGTCCCACCTCTCCAGCCCCCACCACTCCCACAGCACCCCCAGGACCATGCCTCTGGGAGACACTCAGCACCCAAACCACCACAATCTTTAGCAGTGCTTCTGTTCTGAGTCATCTTGTCCATGTGAGCATGACACGCCTCTGGAGTTATGCCGCTTCCATCCTTTCGTGCTATATACTTTTGAATCTAGAGTGTCTCCTCTAGACAGCATAGAGCTTTATCATGTTTTTTAAATCCAGTCTGACAATTTCTGCCCTTTGGTTAGATTGGGAAATCCACTCACATTTAATGTTATTATTCATATAGTTGGATTTGCATGTGTCATTTTATGTGTGTGTGTGTGTTGTGTAGTGGGATTGAATTTTAAACCCTGACCCTTCACACTGAGCTACATCCCCATCCTTTTTTGTTTTGCTTTTGGTACCCGGAATCGAACTCAGGACCTCGGGCTTGCCAGGCAGGCACTGCCCAGCCTTTTTAAAATTTTGAGACAAGGTCTCACTGAGTTGCCCAGGGTGGGCTCAATTTGTGAGACTCCTACCTCAGTTTCCCATTTTTTTTTATTTTTCACATCTCTTTTTTCTCTCTTCTGCCTTTATTGCTTTTTCTTTCATTAGATAAACATTTTCTAATGTAGCTTTTTCCCTTATTTTTATATTTTTGGTCATTTCTTTGGTGATTGCTCTTGTGTTTAGCATGTACATTTATCTTCACAATCAGTTTCAGATTTGCATTAGCTCAATTTCAGTCATACATAGGAACATTACTTCCATGTAGTTCTACTCCTTTATTCCACTTTTTTATGGTGCTTTGCTCCTCAATATGATAAATAGTAATGGTACATTGTAATAATTATTACTTTGCCATCTGCATTCATTTCCTTAGTTTAAGGCAGCTTTGCTTCCATCCCTTGCCTTTGTGTCGTTATTGGCAAATACATTACACACATATTACATTTCTGTAAGTCACAGGCCTGGGACTACGTTAAATACATATTATTTTGTACAATTACTTTCTAAATGAGTTATGAGAAAAGGGAAAATATGCATTTATACCATCTTATAAAATTACATAATTGCCTTTACTGGCACTCTGTCTTCGCGTGGATTCAAATTACTGCCTAAGTTTTCTTGCTTTAGCCTGAAGAACCTTTTATGTTTCTGACAAAGCAGGTCTGCTAGCATCAAATTCTCAGTTTTGCTGGGGATTTAGCTCAGCAGCACAGCGCTTGCCTGGCAAGCGCGAGGTCGTGTGTTCAATTCCCAGTACTGGAAAAAAAAAACAACAAAAAAAACTGTTAAACAAATTCTCAGTTTTTATTTCTCTTCTTGATTTGCATAATCTTTGTGGACGTAACTCCAGGTTTGCTAATTCTTTCTTCAGCCTGCTCAAATTTGATGCTAAGCCTGTCCGGTAAGTTATTCACTTCCATTGTTGCATCTTTTGATTTCAGAGCTTCCAGTTGGTTCTTTTTCTGACTCTTCATTACAATCTCCAGTACACGTGATATTGTCATCATGCCTTCCTTGACTTTATTGATCAAATCTCATGTCAGCTCTGTGAGCAAGTTTGTGGTGGATAGTTTGAAGTCTCCTCTTACCTGCAACCTCTGTTCATTCTGGCAATTTCTGTTATCTGCTTTATTTTTAACCTTTAGGTCATGCTTGTATGTTCTTTGTGTGTCTCATAGCCTTTATTTTGGAAATCAGCCATTTTAGATGATACCTGGCAGCAACTCTGGGGCCTCCCACCCATGCCCCATGTGGGCCTTGTTGTTGTTATTTGCTTGACTCTTTGTTTAGTGACTTCCTGGGCTTCTGTAGTGAGGAACTCCTACCCCCAGAAGCATTAGGCTCTTATGTTGCCCCTCTGGAAGGAGGCACAGGCACAGTTCTGATGCCCACAGTGGGAAATTCCACCCCAAGATTTCACCAGGTGAGAACACTATTTCCCTTTTCCCGGGCCTGATTGATTGGGGATTTTTGCCTCACATGGCCGAAGGCTGCCTAAGCACCACAAGAGCCACTAACCATGGCCAGCCAGGTGCTCATCCCTGCACAGGAACGGGGAGAGAGCAACTTTGCAGGCAGTGTAAAGTAAACTTCCTCTAACCAGGAAGAAAGAGAAAGGAAGAGAAGACCAGGCAAACCCTCCTGGTGGACTGTGTTCCCCCCAGCCTTGCTGACATGCTGAACAAGAACAGTCTGTGTTCACCCGGACTCTGTCCCTACCCTGACCCCATGTGCAGAGTAGCTCAGTCCTAGGTGAGCACCCCACTTCCTCACCCAGTTCTACCTGGTGCAGGTCAGCTCAGGCCTCATCTGTGCCTAGCTTGTCTTAAGAGGAGTATGCAAAGCCCACCACAGGAGGCCAGTGCTCTCTGGAACCTGCCTCTCCCTGCTCAAGTCTGTGGGACCTAGGGACAATGTCTGAGCAGCCCTGTCCACCACTCGGGAAGGCTGGGCCCTTCAGGGGACACGCTAACACCCTCTACAAAATTCTGGATTTGTCTCTGTAAACTCATAGCTGTTTTCTTCCCCCAAACTAGTCATAACCGTCATAATCCATGTTCTGGCGGCTGCACTGTGACTTTCCTTAA